AAACTTGGCTAGGCATAAGCTGTCCTTGGGTTTGAATACTTGATTGGTTTTTGAAAAATGCCCTTAGAAGTTTCTAGTTTGTCACCCAAATAGCATGTCAGACAACAAAGAACATTTTTGTCATGCTCAGACACCATTCAATCATAATCTGAGTTTGACTTCAAAGCTTTCACAATTCAATTTTATTTAGAATTAAGAAAATATGACTGAGGAGAGCCGTGTAAGGGCAGAGCGAGCATTTGTCTTCTGTGGAACCACCGGGCAGAACGAAAGGGGAGTGAATGAGGCCATTCCTCATTTGCCTCTCCTCTCATTTGCCCCCTCCACATACAGGTTACCCACTGTCCCCTGATGGTGCTGAGGCCCTGGGAAGACACCCACACTAATGTGTGAGCATATATTTGGGTTAATGAGGTCCCTCCACAGTGAGATACTATGCCCGCAGCTCATGTGTTACAGGAATTCAGACTACCATTTGTAACATTCTCAAGGATCACTGGAAAACCTATACCTTCCCCCCCCCAAAAAAAAAACAAAACCTAGCTTTTTCATTACTGTTAGATCCTAGAAAAATAAGAATATATAGTTGGTATAAGATAAAGTCGCTGTCTCATCACTTCACTTTCTACTGAAGTCTGAAACCAACAATGAAAGCGGCCTGGTGATCTCAGGTTCTCCAGAGGACAGCAGTGTGATCCTCTGAAACATGAGTGGCACACTTTTGGAAAGGAAATATAAAAGTGACTTATAAATCAAAATTGCTCAGCATTAGGAAACTCTTACTTCTTTTGCATTTTGTGTTGACATTTCCCAAAAAGATGAAATCAGAGACACTGACTTGGAATATTCACTTTTCCTCAAACCAGCACTCCAGCACATAGACTGAGCCCAATGGTGTGTGTGGGGGGGGAGAGAAATAAGTTGCAAATGAACTAAGATTAACAACTTTAATGTCAAGTTTGATAATTGTTGATTATGGTCATGGGATGGTTTTAAGTATCATATATCATGTGACATAAATCTCATAAGTATTTTTAGGGATCCTCAACTTTTTGATAAGAAAAAAAGAGTATGACCTAAAACAATTTAACTCCTATCAAAATCACATGATCCAAATGAAACTGTAATTTGACACAGACTTTCAGGCAACTATCGCTTTGTATAAATTGATATATATTCTTGGTTCCTAGTAGTGAGATTAACATCCCTTCAAGAATCTTTTAAATTACCTCTTTAGAGAGTATAATACCATCATTTTCCTTCCAAAGCCTCCCATCTATCCCTCCTTGTTCTCTTTCTAATTCATAGTCTCTTTTTCTATTAATTGCTGTTAAACATACATACATACACACACACACACACACACACACACACACACACACACACACACACACATACACACACACACACACACACCTCAATAATGACCTTAGTCATTTGTTGCTTGGAAGAGACAATTCATTTCACCTGAAGAGATGCCCAACCCCTAACCCTGATGCTCAGCTGACAGGTGTGAGGGGAGAGGCTACACCCTGCCAGCTGCCTGAGAAATGACTCATGTACACAGGCATACCACTGAGGCCATGGTCTTGGCAGGGAAATGTTTGATATTAAGACTTCGTGCCTTCAGGAGGCTTGGGATGCCTTGACACCAGGACCTCTGGATTCTCCTTAGCCTATGTCTGTGTAAATGAGATAAACACATGCTGTCCAACATACAGACTAGTATGGACACAATCTCAGCTGCCAAGGCTTTTGAAGAAGGAAAAATACAAAAGAAAGCTTGCATAGAAAATACTAAGTCTTCTGCCATATCCAAATTTGAATTAATTTCACTGGTGCAGAAACTTCTAATTGAGTGTGTCCCCTTTGAATCTCAAGCATATTCCCTGTATGCTGATTATTTAGGAAAAGCTAAGGTGTGTTTTAGAATGAATGCCATGCTCCTTCATGAAAGAACAGCCTGTGCACCTGAACCATTTCAGAGTGCCCTGTCTGAAGCGAGTTAGGGTAACTGCATTTTATGTGCTGGTTTCTGTGTGTGTGTGCGCACATGTGGATTCAGAGGACATGTGGATTTCAGTGTCCTACCTCAGATACTGTCCATATTTTTTGCTTCATGACAGGGCTTCTCACTATAATTACAATTCACCACATAGGTGGCTAGCTGGCCAGAGAGCCTTAGAAGTCCACCTTCCTCAGCCTCACTGGCACTGGCCATTCAAGTATGTGACACTGCACCTGGCTTTTTAAAATGTGCATTCTGGGGACCAAGCTTAGATCCTTCTGTTTGCAGCATAAGCATTTTACCAGCCAAGCCATCTCATCAGTCCCCACATTAATTATTTTGATAACTAAGGTTAAACCTTGATGCTACTGAAAATGATCTAAACTATATTTAAATATATAAATACTAATTAAGAATATATCAGAAACTCTGCTCTTTTTGCTTTTGTGAATTTTAAATATTTAGAGTCCAATATGTCATATACAACAGGGATAAAGATTATATATTTTATATAGATTATATACATATATATCAACCATCTTTCTGTCTCCTGTTTATCCTTCTATCTGTTGCTCATACATATATCAATACACATACATGTGACAATTATATATAATCATGCTGGGTCTTCTGGCAGGTAGGGCTGGGGAAGGGCCGGTTCAGCAGGTCTCTTTCTGGGGCTGAGCAGGATGGAGAGAGTCGATGACCCAGACCTCCATCATAGTTACTGGAGAGAACCACACTGAGTCAGGGGACGGGTCAAAGGAGGGTCTCTCTTTATTGCATCAGGCAGGTACTTATATAGGGTTGAGGAAGTGGGTGGGGACCTCAGGATGGGGTAATAATATTTCAAAAATGCTAGCAGTAGCTGGGCAGAGGCAGTTTTACTGAGTCTTCCTATGCAGAAGTGATAGGCCAAAGACAGGTCGCCAAACTCTAGCCAGGCTCAGGACGTTCCACTAGGCTTTGTGTCCTGGCCTTTTTAGGCCCAACATAATCACATCTATTGTTATGTATAGTATAAATATACATGTTCATATACATGCATATAATTATAATTAAGAATTCTGCTCTATGAAACAATAGGCTTTGATTTTACACCAGTGGGAAACTCACAAGGCTGTATCATTATTTGACATTTGTGATTGATATGTAGCTCATTATTTTCTTAAGATTTCTTCCTTTGGCATCTGCATTCATAAAGAGTCTGTCTGTGGTCCCCAGCCCCAGTGTGATGGAGAATGATTGCTTGCAACTGCTCCCTGCTCTCGGGGTTCTTGTGATCACCTGGCAGCCTGGTGAGAACAGGCCCATCTAATGACTCAGCTCAAACATTGTACCTGTTACTGTTGACAGACTTTGTTCCTTGGAGAAGATGTGAACTGCCAACTGGCTGTGACAGTCTGTGAACTAACACCGACATTTGTGTTGGCGCCATGTCAGACAGTGCTTACAGCTCCAGAAATGCATGGAGCCAGAGCAGGACTGGCCTGTGGTTTTTGAGATTGAAAGTACTACAATATATAAATGATAAGCATGAAGACAACAACAATAAACATCAGTTAAGAGATCGAGGTCCCTGAGAAGCATCTCCTCCATGTGAAGTGTGTGTTGTGAAAAAGGAAACATCACATACAACAGAGAATAGCAAATTCAGTCATAGATCCCATCTGCAATGATAAGTTTTCTAACTTCCCATCATTTCAGAGATGAACCAAACATGAACTACAGGCACTGGGAGAAAGACTGGCATTCTGTCTCAGTTTTCTTTTGCTAGCCTCAGAACTGGATCTTCTTTGACTTTAATCACCTCTGAATGTCATTGTAAGGCTATTAAATGAGCACATTTCAACGGTGATGTTTGAAATAGACACTTGAGCCTTGTCCTTGCTTCCCAACAGGTGGTTAAGTGCTGTTGTATGTTAACAAGCAGGTTGTGGCTGGCGGTCTCTGGGGAGTAAGGTTTCCCTGAACAATCAAATCCAGTGGAAGAGGCTGCAGGAACCTAAATTTGCATCTCAGGAGAAACATGGGGCTTGCAAATGGCATCTGAGGTGAGGGCAGTATTAGGAAGTGAGCTCTCAACCTGTGTGTGTGTGTGTGTGTGTGTGTGTGTGTGTGATAATGTTCATGTATGTAGGCATGCCCGAGAATAGGTACATGTGCAATTAACCTGGATGTCATCCTCCAATAACTATCCACTTCAGTTTTTGAAATAAGGTCTCACTGAACCCATAGACTACCGATTCAGCTAGACTCACCTGCGTTCGCCCTCACTGTGCTACGTCACAGACACATGCCAGGCAAGGTACCTACCCTTCTACAAGAGTGCCTGGGACTGAACTCAGCTTCATAGCAAGCACTTTACCAACTGAGCCATCTCCCCACACTCCCTATACCCTTTGTGGGCACAGACATCTCTATTGGTTGCTATGGTTTAATAGTAGAGAAAAATGGTTTCTTTTTATTTCTTTTTGTTTTTGAGATTATAATGACAATATTTCCCCTTCCCTTTCCTCTCTTCCCATTCATCCCTCCCCACGCTCCCCCAAATACATGGCCTCTGTGCTCCCTAATTGTTACTGCATTGCACACACCTATATGTACATACATAAATATTCCTAAATATAGCCTGCCCTGCCCTTATAGTGTTACTTGAGTGTATATTTTCAAGCTGCACATTTGGCACTGGACAACCAGCTGGTGTGCTCATCCCGGTGGAAGACCACCCCTCCCGCTCCAAGCTTCCCCTTTGCCTTTACACATCACCACCAGAAGCAGCTGCTCCTAGAGATGTGACACTGAAGGTAGGAACACGGGGAGAGTTTTGGTGAATGTGGTTAGCACATCTGGACACTAACATACTTCTCACAGGATCACTAGCTGGAAGAAGTCACCCGGCGCCTTCAGCATCTATCCTAATCTCCCAGTAAACACTGGGAACGCAGTTGTCCTCTAAATTCATAAATAATTAATTTAGTCAGACACTTACTGCTCTGGTTCCAGGGCAGTCTGGAGATTGGCACACGCCACTCATCCGGTTTGGAATTAAGACATCTTCCCAGCAAGATGGACCCTGTGGAAAACAAAACCAAAACAAATGAAAACCATCATCATATCCTTTCTCACAATGGAAATGCAAATGCACTTGCTCCCACTGGACTCCTGGGATGACAGTGAAATGATGAGTACTACAGTGATCCATATGGTGTAGCTAACAAACATGGTGGGGACTCTTTCCAGATGTTCTTGTGGGATCTGCTGGGTCAGAAGTGTCCTCATAATACACAGGAATTCATTGGTATTTGGCTCAAACAGGTTCCTCTGAGTCCCTGGCCACATTGAAATGTTGCTGTACAGAAGCTGGGACAACACTCTGCAGCAGCTGGTCTACCCACATTCCTTTACTGTATAGCAGGCATCACTAATCAACAAGTGGCACGATGACTGATGACCTGGGTGTCTGTTCCCTCACTGGATGTGGGTTCTGCTTGAGAAGAACTGATCTACCTATATCACACAGCATCCCAGTGACTGAGGGGCCTGGCCCTGGGCACACAGCATCCCAGTACACAGAGAAGGGCCTGGCACTGAACAAGCTATTCTACTAACCAACAAACAAAACTTTAAATAACACCAAGAGTCCTTCAATTAGATTAGTAAAGAACACTGAAAATACCAGTGCTGATTCATAGATTCTTTTTGGGTAGCATCTCTGCAACATGCACATTAAGTCTCTGCCTGTTCTATGATTGTTTGTGTTTCAAGAAGTCTGGTTCCCAGAACAGTGCCACATGTGACAGGAAGACATGACCTCCTGACAACACCCAAGGCCTCGTGTCCCATATAATGTGTACATGAAGCTTAGGGTACAAAACATATGTGTGCTTGGAAAGGTTGTGTACCCACATCCTGTCCTCGGTAGGGAACACCCATGCTCGCTTGTGGTTAAAATGGTGAACAAACATTTTAAGATAAAAAAAAAATCTGACTCCATATAATTTTAGGGTGTCTGCTTGCACCTCAAGGTCCTGCTACCTGACCATGTGTCAGACTCCTCCCGCATGCATGTTTTTCTGCTTCTGGTGTACTTTTTTGGACTTCCCAATCTGAGCCTAAGAGGTTTTACTTGTGTGTGTGTGTGTGTGTGCGCGCGCGTGCGCGCGCGCACGTGCATTAATGTAAACTTCACTCTATTAAAAGTATCCAGCAAAAAATAGGCTCTTTAGGCCCCAAGTACCCAGACCAGAAAGAGCATAATACATTTTATTTGCAGATGTTTTGAATACAGCACTAACCAGCCAGAGACAACCCAGATCACCAGAGAGCTGCATAGCCACCTGCAGTTACACCAAACAGTGTGCAGTAACACTGACTCCTAGTTCTTACTCTCAGATCCATGGTAGAGCAGGAGTGCAGATGTTAAAGAGGTTGGGAAAGGAAAATGATGACGGAGAACCAACTCAAGCTATGTACCTCTTGGTAGAGGATTCCTCATTACTGACAAACAACAGTGCCCATATTTTAATGAAATGATTTTTCCTAGGTTCACTCCAATTTTAAATACTAACATGTAAATGAACATATAAATGGGGATTACATGGAAGGGGAAGTGTTGAATGCATGCCTAGAGATTACCACACACACACACACACACACACACACACACACACACACACACACACACGTCTCCTCCATGGTATCACTTGACATCAGCTTAGAATCTAGCTGTGTATTAACACATGAAACCAATGAGACTTGAGATGATGCTTTTCTGGAAATGTTCAGTAGACAGCACTGAGAGCTGAAAATTAATTCAAAGGAGAGGAGAGAGGGCAGAGGGAAGCTGCAGCCACAGGATTTTAGTATCAACAGAAGATACTAAAATATATTGAGAAAATGGCTAGCTTACCTGCCTCAAGACAAAAATCTACACAAAATTCTAAAGTTCCAGTAACTCCTTCAAGGATCTGAGAGAGTATTTCCAACCAATAATCACATGGTAAGAAGTACACTGAGGACCCAAGAGATGGAATGGGGGCCCAGGGGAGTGATAGCTCACAGACAACAGAAGGCTGAGGGGGTGCTGGTTTCACAAATGGTGACATCTGGAGATACGGGGGCGGGGGCAGTGTTTCTAGAAGTATGACAGGAAGTACAGAGGGTGGGCAGTGCTTCCAGCACAGGTGATCTGACAGCTAGTGGCCTGGTGTCAGGTGGGGGAACATTTGGACAAAGGAGCAATGGATGCAGAGTCATCATTTACACTGCAGGAAGTAAATCAGTCACCACGGGCCAGCCGCAGGACCATTTCAGTGCCAGAAGTCAGCCTTTAGCAACTCAGAAAATTTCTAGCAGAAACTAGTGGACATGTGAAGGTATACATGGAGCTAGAGGCCCTGCCTAGGGCCTGCACAAGCCTGGCCTTGGCTTTCTTCACCAGCATATGTATATACACATGTTCACCCACATTCACACACACACACACACACACACACACACACACACACACACTATGAAAACATGTGCCACAGCACACAGACACATGCTCATCGCATATGTATGCACACAGACATGTGTGCATAAACCACAGACACACACACACACACACACACACACACACTATGAAAACATGTGCCACAGCACACAGACACAAGCTCATCGCATATGTATGCACACAGACATGTGTGCATACACCACATGCACACAATTCTACAGGAAAACAGAGAACACGTAGAAGACTGGGCTCCACCTATAAGACACTGTCATTCTATAGCAGCTAAGCGACCTAGATTTCAAAGGAGCCTGGAATTTGAACTCTTAGATCATTAGTCTACAAGTCACAGCTGAGCTTGGACAAGGTGGGAAGAAAGCAAAGCAGGCCTGGAGCTTTCAGTGTTAACTTTTTTTTTTTTTTTTTTTTTTTTTTTTTTTTTTTTTTTTT